CCCCACTTCTATGTTGACTAGCTAGTCAAAGGTATGACATCACTTCATTTCTGCTAGATTATTGCCAACAAATCGTCTTGCTGATGTTACAAAAGATAGAGCTATGTTGAACTATTGCATTCAGAACATGACAGCAATAGATGTTGGTGCACTTATAGTTCATCATGCTCAAAGTATATCTAATAGTTCTACAACTAATGGTTTGGGATACCCTACTTTGATTTTCACTTTATGTGAAGAATCAGGAGTAGAGTCCCATAGAAATGAAGAAGGATTACAACCACAAAATCCTATTGGGAAGAATATGATTCAAAGAGTTGAATCATTTTTGAATCTAGAGGGGGAAGAAGGAATAAACCCTCTACATCAGCTACAGGGTCATCTACTTCTCGCCCTGCATCATTAGAAAACATTATGGATCAACTCATGATTCAACAAATGGACATAATTAATATTTAGGGTCAGTTGGGAGAGATTGGAGCAAGAAATGCTTATAATGATGAATATCAGCAAAGGAAAGTTCAACATGACATTGATTTATAAAAGGCCATGATTAGATATCTAAGAGGTGATTATCTTAGGGGAGAGCCTAGAGCCTAATGTGGAATTTCCTCCTTGTCCTAGTTTCACTCCCTATACTCCTATTCAGGATGAAGATGAGGAAGAAGAAGAAGATGATGATTATGACGAGGAGGAAGGAGATGAAGACTGATACTTTTATGAGTCTAGTGTAGTTTTTTTTTGTGTTTGTTTGGTATTTGTGATTGAAATGTGATGTATTTTCATTTGAACTGTTATAGTAAAAACTTTCATGTTATGTTGTGGACATAATTGTAATAGTTACTGTAGACTTTTACTTTTTATGCATTTTTAGTACTTTCAATTTTATTTTTCCATTTTTATATTTTTGTTTTTAATTCTTAGCAAATTCTTTAGAATATATTATATTTCATTTAATGCTTTAAAGCCTGTATGTTTTTAAAGTTAGTACCTGCAGTAAACCAGAGTCCAGTTTCATAATCAGAAATCCTCTACAAGTCAGTTTTTATTTTCATGCATTTACTTTTTTCTCTTGGTACATATTATCTAGTTGTTAAATAGGAAGCAAAAAGGAAAGGAGAGGGGGGGGGGGGGGGGGGGGGGTGGAGAAAAAAGTTTCTTTTGAAAAGAATTAAACTAAAGTTTATTTGTCCTTAATTAACTATATTTTTTAAAATTAATTTAAGATGAATTGGGGATATTAAAATTTAACTTTAAATGACTATACTTATGTTTATAAATATTATGGTAAATTTAGCTAAAATTTTTTTAATAATGAAGGTCAATTCTAAAGTTAAAGATATTTAGTATGATAAGATAAGATTACACTTTTGTATTTAAAGTAAAGAAAGTTGTATTTGTGAAGTATTAAGAATTTTAGAGTTTCATGTAAGAAGAAAATAATGAGACTTTATGAAAAATCATAAACTAATATGAATTTATAAAGTGAAGAAAGGTATGGAGGTTTAACTTTAAGAAGAAGATAGCGAAGTTCAAAACTATTAAAGGCTATCCATATATAGTAATCCTCACTTGGAAAAGAAAACGAGAAAAGAAAGAAGAAAAAAGAGAAAAGAAAAGAAAAATAAGTGAGGAGAAGCTTGAGGAGATGCCTAATAAAAAATT